GCCTGTAAAAGATTAACTTTCATCATTTAAAATTGTTGAACCCCTTCGGAAGCAGGAGAAGAGGGGGATTTTTCGGACTGTTTAAACCTGCAGAAGTGAGGGTAAAGTAAGTAACTTTCCACCGTCCTGATCCTGGAGCGGGGTGTTAGGACTGACGTTTTTTGAAGCTCATTGACCAGAGACAACGTTTTTGACAGATAGCTATAAGAAGAGAAACTTTGACTCCATTGTTCCCCTTCGCTTCTTAAAGGAACAAATATTGACAAAATATCTGAAAAAGGAAACTTTGTTGCTAGACTTGTCTTTAAAAGAAAGAACAAATAGAAGTTTTCCCCCTAGAGGGAGACTCTGAAACTGTAACCAACTCCGGGAAGCTTGCAGCTGTTACAGATTACAATCGTGGGAATAGACATCTGACCTTGCAGGACAATGTATTCAGAAGCTCTGTTGTGTGCTTTCTATAAAACAAATGCCCTACTGGAACAGCTACATGAGAAGACGAATTTGATGGCTGATTCGATTAGAAATTTTGAACAGGCAGTGGGAAATTTTGAACAGGCAGTGGGAAAATATGTGGAGCCCACCCAGGAATCAAATCAGGAGTGTGCCCGGACAGAACAGGCCCAACAGGAACATGAGCTTTCGGATTTGACAAATGAACTTGGAAAAAGCCAGATTTGGAAAGAAAAAGTTTGGTTTGGTTTGGAAATGGGGGGCTGGATAGACCCCCCTATGCAGGGATGTTTGGACTTTTCAAGTCTGGCAATGGGCCGTGAGATGTTTGGGATTGTGGGGGCTCCTAATTTTGGAGGGATTTTGAAACATGTTCTTAAATACCACATGGAATTTAGTGTGGATTATGGAAAAGGGGCTGATCTGTCGAGAAGGGTCAAAAATATTGTTAAGCTGGAGTTCCCACGAGTGAAACGAGCAGGAGACAAGGGAAAATACAGTTACAAATATGAAGAAGAGCTGCGGAAGGGACATGGAAGAGACTTAAGGGCCTCGGATATAAGGTTACCAGGTTAATGCGCTAGATCGATGGGATAATAAGGACTGACAAAACCCGGGACCAGGAGGAAGGGACGCTGGATGAAGAGTGGATTGTTTTTATTTCTTTTTCTACTACTAGGATTGTTTTATAAAATTGATGAATGTTAGAAAAATGTTGGAATGAAATTACTTGGCTTTAGTAAAAATGTTTAAAGAATTATGTAAGAATATTATGGTTATGAGAAGTTGGTAAAAATAAGATTTAAGTTTTAAGTTTCAAGGTTTTTATAGTAAGATAAGATTAAAATAGTTTAAGGTAATGTAATGACAGAATATTATGAAATATGGAAAGGATTTGCTGCGACAATTAACAACTAGGATACAAAAAAAGGGAGGAGGAGGAGGTCAAAGAAAGAAGGTAATGACAGTTGAGGATTTGAGAATAATGGATTTGTTTTTAAATGTTTGTGGTGTATTTTTTTTTTTTGAATTTGTATTGTTGGATGTGGGGTTTTTTTCTCTTTGTTCTTTCTTTGTTCTTTTTCTACTTTGTTTTCTTTTGTAGCTCTAAAAAAAAAAATTCCAATAAATATCATTTTAAAAAAATAAATAAATTGCAATTTCTTTCCACTTCTTGATCGCCGAAGAATTGATGCTTTTGAATTATGGTGCTGGAGGAGACTCTTGAGAGTCCCATGGACTGCAAGAAGATCAAACCTATCCATTCTTAAGGAAATCAGCCCTGAGTGCTCACTGGAAGGACAGATCCTGAAGCTGAGGCTCCAGTACTTTGGCTACCTCATGAGAAGAGAAGACTCCTTGGAAAAGACCCTGATGTTGGGAAAGATGGAGGGCACAAGGAGAAGGGGACGATACGGGACGAGATGGTTGGACAGTGTTCTCGAAGCTACCAGCATGAGTTTGACCAAACTGCGGGAGGCAGTGGAAGACAGGAGTGCCTGGCGTGCTCTGGTCCATGGGGTCACAAAGAGTCGGATACGACTAAACAACAACAATAACAAACAATTTTGCGCCCAGGGCAACTGCCCCTGTGCTCCCCACACACACGACATCTGACTGCAGCTGTAGCTGTTTTCCTCAACCTACAATTCTGTATTTTAAACTGTCCCAAAATACCTATAAACTCCCGTAACTGACCTCTCCCACAGTTCCTTGATTAAAGCCTGCTCTTAGGAGACTAGAGATAAGATGCCCGTCTTTTTTTTCCTGACCATCCAGGAAACAGCATTGTTAACACCTCATTTACATTGGCTACTACTTAGCAGCTGTTTGTGGGGAAGCTGTGCCTGCAGAGTATCTGTGAAGTATTGCAAGGAAGTGAGAAATTAATTGCTGAGCAGTAAGTTCCCTCATCATCATTAGCAGCAGCACCCCCACAAACACTTGTTCATAGCAGCCAGTGTTTAATGAGGCTCTAACAAGGCAGATTGCTGGGAGTTCAGCAAAATTTATATTACTCAGCATTCCAGGAGGCTCAGTATGTGATATCAGTGTTGAGAAATCACCAGCAGTTAAGGGCTAAGCCAAAACTATTCCATGGCTTCCCTTTTGACGTTTTAAGCGCTTCTAGTGGGAAATATCCACTTGTTTGTCTAAGTTGCCTTCATTTCCCCTCATTTACAGAAGAAGAGCTCTGCTGGATCAGGCCACAGGTCCATCTAGTACAGCATCCTGTTCTTACAGTGGCCAGGCAGTTACCTATGGGAAGCCCATGATCAGGACCTCAGAATCACAGACCCTCCAAGTGCCACTATTTTCCAGGGACAGTCCCTGTTAAGTTGTGGGTGAACATATCAGAAGACACAGCGATTCTTCAAACAGCTCTTGTTTATTCACAGGCCAGAACAGAACAGAACTGAAGGGTTCAGCTAGCCTGCTTATATAGAGCTCCAGTACAACGTAACTGTAACAACTTTCTGAAACTATCCAATCACTGAACATCACTTTCAATCCCTTATTTGCATGTGTGGAACTGAGTGAAAACTATCTACAGTATCCCCCTGCTGACCCAGGGTGAGAACTTCAGTACATAACAGTCCCCAATTTACAGAAGCCATCCCGGTTTCTGGTTTCTGATCTTGGAATGCCCCACTTTTCCTTCAGACGCCTCTATTTTCATCGGATAAATGTTGGAGGGTATGGAGCCATGCGGTCCTCGAGCCATCTGAAGGTAGCCCAGTATAGGAAAGTTTTGAAATGTTTCATGTTTTATTATGTTTTTATATGTTGGAAGCTGCCCAGAGTGGCTGGGGCAATGTTGGCGAGTATGGAAATCAGTGGCTGGGGAAATGTTGGCGAGTATGGAATCAGTGCAACCACACTGCTCCCAGCAGTATTATCATGCAACCAAATCTGCTTAGCTCCATCGTTTGATGGAGGAATCCAGGAAGGTGGGAGAAGTCCCGTATACCTGAAGGAGCGTCTCCACCCCCATCATTCTGCCCGGACACTGAGGTCCAGTGTCGAGGGCCTTCTGGCGGTTCCCTCACTGCGAGAAGCCAAGTTACAGGGAACCAGGCAGAGGGCCTTCTAAGTGGTGGCACCCGCCTTGTGGAACGCCCTCCCACCAGATGTCAAAGAGAACTACAACTACAAGACTTTTAGAAGACATCTGAAGGTAGCCTTGTTTAGGGAAGCTTTTAATGTTTGATGGATTACTGTATTTTAATATTTTGTTGGAAGCCGTCCAGAGTGGCTGGGGAAGCCCAGCCAGATGGGGGGGGGGTATAAAATTATTATTATTATTATTATTATTATTATTAGGAAGGAACAATGGTGCTGAACAGTATTCAGGAGGAAATGGTAACTAATTCCACCTCACTGAAACGGTGAGTCTCCCAAAGTGCAAAACAGGTGTCATTTTCCTACCACTCACCAGTGAAAATTAGATACTTCAACTTACTAAAGGTTCCCCCCACCTCCACCTCTGGCAGCAGTGATTCACAGCTTGGATCACATCTTATTCATGAGCACTGATGTTCCCTAGATGGAGAGAAATCCAGCCACTGTCATTCATGGCTGTGTAACATTACGAAGGATTTACGCAAAGCTGCTCCTGAAGGGTTCAGAAGCTTTTTCGGAACTTGGCAGCCTGCCTTCTTAGTGACAGCAGAGTTGAGAACACATGGAATGTGCGCTCTCAGTGCTGCACAAAGACAGCTACTTAAGGACACCTGAACCCAACTCAAGCTGCTGCTTTGGACTATGGCCTGGTCTCAACGTATCTGAGACAGCATCTCTTCCCATCACAAAATGTGGTATGAATTGAGATGGTCTACAATACTTCAACAGGTGGGTCACAGAAATACTATCACCGCCATTTTGTTTTGTGATGATGAGGGGCCTTGAGAAATGAGCTCATACTACTGGAAGACTGCTTTGCCTCCTCTTCATTTCACTTCGCTTCACTTCACTTCACTTTTAATTTGTCTACCGCCTTTCCATATTGCTTGACACGAGGCGGTTTACAAGCTGAAAAAACAACAAAATAGACAGCAAAGATCACACACGTAATAACAAACTTTTTTGTGGCAAAAATATGTCACAATAGCTTTGGAATAAACAACTTCTATCAAACAAAGCAATATTCAATAATCCATTAAAATATAATAGTAAACAGTAAAATTAAAATCAGCAAATAATAATAATAATAATAAACAGTTTACACTTACACTTACACTTGCACTTGTCTGTCTGCCTGCACACCTATCCAAGCATGGAAAATCCAAGTTAAAGGGAGTCTAAGTGCAAATATAAAGACATAAGTAGACTATAAATCAATCTTGCACAGTGGTGGGATTTGGGGTTAAGAATATAAGAAAGCCCATTGTGCTGTTCTCACAGTGGCCATTGAGATGCCCATGGAAAGCATGCAAGCTCAACAGCATTTTGCCTCATAAAACTAACTACACTGGCCACTCATAGAATAATAGTATTGGAAGAGAACCTGGGGGTCATCTAGTCCAACCCTCTACAATGCAGGAATATGCAGCTGCCCTGCACAGGGATCGAACCCATGACCTTGGCACTATCAGCACCATGCTCTAACCAACTTAACTAATGCTGCAAACATCTTACAGCTATCATAGGGTTCCCCTGTACTGTCTTTCAGAGCTTATACAGTCAAACCTCAGCTCCCGAATGCTGAAAACCCAAAAGTAAATGATCCGGTTTTTGAACGTTTTTCGGAAGCTGAACATCCAATGTGGCTATGGCTTGACTTCAGGAAGCTCCTGCAACCAATCAGAAGCCAAGCCTTGGTTGTCAAACATTTCGGAAGCCGAACGGGCTTCCGGAACGGATTATGTTCGAGAACCGAGGTTTGACTGTATGATGTATTCCTCAGAAATGTGGCGATTTAAAGGAACCCTACTCTGTCCCATTCTCCACAGAGGGCCCAGTCCTGGTTCAGCAACTCATTTCCAGGCATGCCAGAGGCCAGTTATTCACCTTCTCGTTGGTGGTTTCCTTCTTTCAGTATTCAAGATGTTCCTTTCCACCTTGGATCCAGCCACTTCTAACAACGCAGACCTCTCTTCTCCTTCTGTTTCCCCCAAAGTCCCTCAATCCACATCTTAACTCTTTGCCAACTTACTCAGTCCTGGGGAGATCATTATTTTCCCCAAGCGCATATATGGGTTGCTCACATTGATGATACAGCATCTCTTCTGCCTTGGCTAGGTTTACGCCAGCCAGGCTGAGGAACTGTGTGGTGTCATGACAACTGGAATACCTTGGTTGTGCCTACTGAACTTGTCAGTTGGACCACCTCAATTGTCAGCATAGCATGACGCCAGCTTAGAGGCCAGAAGCAAGGTCTGGAGTAGCTTAGCATTTGGCATACGCCCACTGTTCCCTCCAACGCCACCCCTTTTTGGCCCCTCCATTGGCACTGATGCACCAGTGGCAGGAATATACTGGTATAACATGGCACCAACATACCAATGATGTTATGCTGGCACAGGGTTTCTGCTGGTGATATGTGTCAAAGAACACCAGAATGGGGGGACTAACAGTACAATCCTAACTCCATTTACCTGGAAGTAAGCCCACCTGAATTCAATACGTAGACATGGTTGGGATCGCTGGGTAAATTTCACACAACCTTAATCATCCATGTCTTTATATTAATGATGAAATAATTCTATCTATTTTCTCTAATTAACTTTATTGGGAAGACATTTTATGTGCCTGTTTTTTTAAAAATGAAATTCTATCTTATTCCAAATCCTATGGTGCTCTAGCTAGTGCAAAGTTAGCATAGAATTATTCTCTGGGGCATATTTACTATATGCAGAAAATGCAGGTTTACAGATCGGTGATATGCAGAATATTCACAGCTTTCCTGGAGCCTACATAGTATCTTCAGAATAAATATTTTTTTCCTTTATCTCAAAGATTTCTTTCCTTTCCAAACATTTTTATGGATATCAATAGAGCTTTTGTTCACCCAAAAATATCTTTAAAAATCATACAATCTTTGCTTGAGCAAATACTTTTTTTTCCAGAGTCAAGCACCATTTAATCTAACCAACATTTACTCAAATCAATACATTTTAATTGAAACTAATGGCAGTTAGCTTAAACCAACAGATTTTTCACTGAACTAAGTTCATTAAATCAATACATTTCTTTAAGAAATGGCTATAGCTTATGTAACAAAGTATTATTTTAAGTTCTTGTCCAAATTCACTCTTATTCAAACATATATGTGAATTATAAGAGCAAGTAAAACACTATATGGTACGACTGCATCAGAGAAACCTTCTTTGCTCCCACAGAATTTGTAAGGCTGGGGACCTTTTTCAAGGCAACACCATCATACAAATAAGGGTAGTCACATGACTACCCACCACAGGGAAGTGCTGATTTTTATAACCAGTTTGAAAGCTCACTGGCAGCCTTACACTCTGTCATGGCTCCCTTGGCTCTGTCAGGAACTAGCATTGTTTGGCAGATGCAGGGGAAGGAGAAAGAAGGAACAGATGAGACATTAAAGGTTGACACCCAGGAACAGAAGTTCCAACTTGAATATGGGGGGGGGGGGCAAGTCAACCCTATCGTAAGTGCCAGGGGGCACCACACAGCCCCCAGATAGAGATAAACCTCTCTGGGCATCGTCCTCTGGAACGCAGCACGGGAAGGTCATAACTTTTCAGTCCCATCGCGCAGAAGTCAATTATCCAAAAATATGTGCACACTCAAACAGAGTAAAGGTTGAGGCTATGAAGTGTGGCATCCAAGTAATTTATTAAGCAATATATATGCAGGTGGCGCTGTGGGTTAAACCACAGAGCCTATGACTTGCCGATCAGAAGGTGGGCGGTTCGAATCCCCGCAATGGGGTGAGCTCCCGTTGCTCGGTCCCAGCTCCTGTCAGCCTAGCAGTTCGAAAGCACGTGAAAGTGCACATAGATAAATAGGTACTGCTCCGGCGGGAAGGTAAACGGTGTTTCCGTGCACTGCTCTGGTTTGCCAGAAGCGGCTTAGTCATGCTGGCCACATGACCCGGAAGCTGTACGCCGGCTCCCTCGGCCAATGAAGCGAGATGAGCGCCGCAACCCCAGAGTCGGGCACGACTGGACCTAATGGTCAGGGGTCCCTTTACCTTTACCTTTACAGGACAAAGCAATCATGGCGTCCTCTCACATCTTCTCCAAGAGAGAGAGGGGAAAGTACAAAAGTACAATCCAACGGAAGAGATAAGACTGGCTTCCGTTCCCACACTTTCCAAGCATGGAATGTAAACACATACATGTGATGTAACAATCACACATTTGGCAACGGGAGAGAATGAAAAGGCTGGCAAACCCTGCCATGCATAATCGATTGCATTATGTGGCACACGCACCATTTGAATGGCAATGTCCACCAACTTTGGGGCGTGGCCCCCTTAAATGTTTTATGGGGGGTGCAGAAGGAGTTGGCTCCTATGCCCAGGGCGATCCTTGCCCTTGTTAGGATTCTTGCTCTGTGTTTGCAGTCATGAGATTGTTATCACATGACAGTGTATGTTTTCATTCCACAGTGTGGGAAGTGACGGAGACAGGATGTTTTGTACTACTGTGTTCTGGAATGTAGGACTATTGTCCTTTGTTTTTTCTCTCTTTGCTGTCTGATGAGAAAGAGGAAGGAGCTAAGTCAGAATGCTCCGAGGGTATTATATGTAAATAAAGTAGATTAGCCAAAATGCTGTGCTACTGAGTTCTGTTACGCAAACTGCAAATACTGCAGGATCATAAGTGTGCTGATGCTTCTTGGTATCAGTCACTGTGATGTTTGGGCTGGAGAAAGCTTTTGAAGCTCCTGACCGACCAGGAGGAAGAGAACATGCCAGTCGGGCATGTGTCTCTACCAGGGTCCTACACGAGAGTAGGACAATCCTAAGTGTGACTTTAGATGTCAGGGTGAGGGAACCAGCTATGCCAGGCATGGGCAAACTCGGCCCACCAGATATTTTGGGACTACAACTCCCATCATCCCTAGCTAACAGGACCAGTGGTCAGGGATGATGGGAACTGAAGTCCCAAAACATCTGGAGGGCAAAGTTTGCCTATGCCTGAGCTATGCCATCTCTTTCTCTTGCCCATCCCCAAGTGGAGCACAGGACTTTGACCAGCCAGAGGGAAGAGCTGAACAGGAGAATGTGGTGACAAAGCAGCAGAGGGTCAGGACACAGTGCCTGAGAAATGGGCACCACCTTTGTAGGTAGGATCAGATGCACCTACTCTGATGGAGTGTGGGAAATTGCAGTCAAACGTAACTATGCATGAGTGCTAGTTAGTCTATGGAGGGTTTAAGATCATAGAGCTGTATTCCTAGACTCAGCTAAGTCACTCCCCCTCCTCTCTCTTCAGCAACTTCCTGATGAGCAAGGTGTCATCCAATCTGTAGTCGTCATTGGGGGGTTTCTTCCTCCCCCCTGCTAAGTTAGAACTGCTAAGCTTTTTACCCATGTGCACAGAAAAAGGAAATAAACTAGTGAAAGCAAGAGAAGCGTTGACTGCATGCACAACAACAAAAATTCTCTAGGACTAGGAAAGGGTATATTTAAAAGGAACATCTAAAGAAAGCCATATTTATATTTATGTACTTTCCTATTTGCACCGTAGATAAGGAAACATCTGTGTATGAAGTCGGATACCTCATCTTGCTAGGTGAGGGACTGTGGTTGGCATATGGTCATCTGTTAAGCATTTAATTACAATCACAACCTAATTAGACAGTCCCTTTAATTGCGAGTCCAAATTTGGGTGGGAAATTTGTACGTGTAGTTATGATTTACTGTGTTTTTAGTAACTGGCTCACCGTTCCTTTCCAGTTGAATTAGTGAAAGGTTTTGTCTTCTATGCCCCCTTGTTTTTCAAAATGGCTTCAAAAACACCAGGTAAGGTCCTTGGGCTTTTAAACAGATGGTCACCGACCAACGTTCAGCACATTTTCTGGACTCTTGTAAAAAGCCCTGATCTTGCAATCTGATTTGTACAGAAGGTCTAGGGGAACATTCATAAACTTAGGGATACTAAGAAACCAGCTTCTGAGGCTTGCAAATCATTTCGTCCAGGTCAAATCTGACCTGAAGGATTGCAGGCATTTAAAGAACAAGTAGCGTCTACAGAACCTCACCAGCATAGCCATTGCAGTGCAAATGTGGTAAACTAGGCTGCAGTGAACAACGTGAGCCTTCTTTGGTACTTTTTAATGAAAAAAAATGTGGGGAAACTCACCACAAAGTTCGTTTATTCTTTGTTTGTTTCAGGCTCTGTCACAGTGCCACTCCATCCCCACCTCAGGCAGTAAAACATGATTAACAAACTCAAGCAGAACATTCCCTGTATTAGAAATGGCCACAACTTTATTGATCACAGAGATAGGGGGAGTGTTTGGCTCAGGCGTTGGGTGTATATCTATTCTAGCCACTGCCCCAACCAAATCTATAATTTATTTAATTTCAAAAATGGTAAGGGAACTCAGTTTCCCTGATTTCCTGCTCAGAAAAACCTCTGGCCTTCCTTGAGAACACGGGTTTTCAACTGGTGGCCTGCAACTCAATTTTCGGTTGCTGGC